AACTATATTTTGGTATAAATATGGGAATAAAATAAATTATTCACCAAAATTGATGATTTTGGGTATAATTATGGATTTTGTACTGCTAAAATAGATAGTAAAATAATTTTAAAAACTCTTCAAAAGATTGGAAAAATACTGAAACACTTGGGTATGCTTATGTATGCATGTATATGCTATTTTGAAAGTATTTTGTATATATAAAGACATAGGGAAAATTGGGTATCAACAGCTAGGCATCGTTTTGAAGCCTCCCACGGGTAGCACTATTAGGTAGTCTGTCAAAACTTCTAGGTTGACTAACAATGAGGCCGAGTACGAGGCCATGATTGCAGGTCTCGAGCTAGCTAAAAGCTTGGGAGCGGAAGTCATTGAAGCCAAGTGTGACTCTTTACTAGTGGTGAACCAAGTAAACAAAACCTTCAAAGTTCTAGAGGATAGAATGAAAAGGTATTTGGACAAGCCACATATAACTTTTCACCATTTGAAGGAATGGACTTTACAACATGTACCTCGAAAACAGAATAGTGGGGCCGATGCACTTGCAAATTTGGGGTCATCGGTCGAGGAAGATGAGATCAGCTCGGGGACTGTCGTTCAACTCTCAAGATATAGGATCGCGGAAGGTCATGCCGAGATAAACTCTACAAGCTGAACCTGGGATTGGACGAATGAATATATTGAATACTTGAAGAACTGAAAGCTCCCATCGAACCCTAAAGAGTCGAGGGACCTACGAACCAAAGCTACTCGATTTACGTTGGATGAAGATGGAACATTATATAGAAGGACATTCAATGGATCATTGGCTGTATTTTTAGGACCAGGAGACACCGATTATGTTTTACGAGCGGTCCATGAAGGCATTTGTGGGAATCATTCCGGCGCGAAATCACTGATTCACAAAATAGTTAGGGCAGGATACTACTGGGATAGCATGGAAAAAGACACTAAGGAGTTTGTTCAAAAATGTGATAAAAGTCAAAGGTTTGCACCGATGATCCATCAGCCCAGAGAACAACTTCATTCAGTTCTATCCCCATGGCCATTCATGAAATGGGGGATGGATATCGTCGGCCCTCTACCATCGGCCCTCTACCATCGGCTCTAGGTAATGCTAAAATCATTTTGTTTATGACTGACTACTTATCTAAATAGGTGGAAACATAGGCCTTCGAAAAAGTCAGAGAAAGAGAAGTTATATACTTCATCTGGGATCACATCGTATGCCGATTCGGGATACCTGCCGAAATTGTATGTGACAATGGAAAGCAATTCATCGGCAGTAAGGTAACGAGGTTTCTCGAAGAACATAAAATAAAAATGATCTTATTGACGCCATATTATCCAAGTGGAAACGGACAGGCTGAGTCAACGAACAAAACTGTCATTCAGAATCTAAAGAAAAGATTGAATGACGCCAAGGGAAAATGGAGAGAAATTCTACCCGAGGTCCTTTGGGTGTATCAAACAACATCGAAGTCCAGTACGGGAGAAACCCCGTTCTCCTTAGTATATGGCTCCAAGGCTTTGATTTCAGTCGGAGTCGGGGAACCTAGCGCCATATTTTGACATGCAACAGAAGAATCAAATCATGAGGCTATGAATACTAGCCTTGAACTATTGTATGAAAAACGAGAAGCTGCAGTCATTCGGATGGCTACTCAAAAACAAAGAATCGAGAGATATTCTAATAGAAGAGCCAACCTTCGCCACTTCAGAATTAGGGACTTAGTTCTAATGAAAGTCACCCTCAATAACTCGAGACCCAAACAAAGGGAAGCTAGGCCCGAATTAGAAGGGACCATATCGGGACCTCGGTGTCATAAGAAAGGGGTCTTATAAACTTAGCACAATAGATGGCGAAAAATTACCGAACAGTTGGAATATATCACTCCTCAAATGATATTATTGCTAAGGTATGACTTTCTCCCTTTAAATTGTTATTTGATACTAACTTATTGCAGGTGTTCGATCGAGGACGTCAAGAAGCTCTTCAAAACGAGGACATTAGGTTTTAAAGAACGTGTTGCACTCTTTTTCCCTTAGATCGGTTTTTATCCCAAATGGGTTTTTCCGGTGAGGTTTTTAATGAGGCAACAATTATGTGCTACCTGAGGAAAATTCAACAATATCCAAGGCTTCTTTACAATCAACCTCGAATAATGGGGGGCATCACCCTTGAATGCTATATTTTTTAGGAAAGTACTTCATGTCAAAGGGTCTCGATAGGGAAACTTTGTAATGGGCCAAATGGTCGAATTAACCGTGTCCATATGGATTAGCTGAGACCCGATGGAAAAACATGTACGCATGTATGAATTATTCAAAGAAGCGTCCTTTCTATATCAAATAGCTTGTGTCTCAAAGAAACTTTTCTACGATACAAGCTCCATACTTGTAATTTTGTGAGAAATGGTTCAAGGGCCAAGCGCAAATATGCCTCAAACACTCGGGGACTATCGTTGATGATCGACATATTCGAGTTATCTAAACTCAAATTCATAAGACCTCAAAGAGGCAATCCTCGATATATAAGCCAAGGCCATCATTCTCGGGGACTAAAACTTCGAACAAGTTCAAAGTGTTATTGGGGAATAAGCCCAAAAGGCATACCTAAAGGCTACGTCCAAATTAATACGACTCGGAGACGTCTGAATCCTACAATAAAAATAGGCCTTCGAAATTCTTTAAAAAATTGGTTAAAAAAGGCTACCTTCGACAAATAATCAAAAGGGATTCGATAAAATCAGCCCTCAAAAAATCTTAAAGGTATCAAATTATTTTAACACAAATGTGATAAAGCACAAAAAATAGAAGGGTTTCAATCAACTCCAATCCCTCAAAAAACCCAATGGGTAAAACATACATGCTAAGGCATAAAGAATTTTTTACTAAGTATTTTAAGCCGAAAGAGGGGAATAATAGCAATCTTTTAGAGGCCATATTGGCCCAAACTAAAGAACCTAAGGGCCAATATACTTAGAGTTCGAGATTTTGTTCTCGCTCTATCCGAACCTAAGGGTTCGACTGTTACGAGCCCAAAAACAGACTTGACTATGGCTCGAGGACTCATCATTATTCGACACAAACCCTGAAGGGCCTATGCTTCAAGTTCGAACCTTATTCAAACTCGATTGTGGTGACTTCGAGGAAGTCGCCCAAAACCAAAATCTCGAATGCACCGTTAAAAGCATAAGATTGTGCTAAAGTTTTACAAGGCAAAAAAGGTGTTTGTAGATAAATATTGAGAAGGCATTCAAAAGGGAAAATTTCTTTATATATATGGGAAAAAATATGTACAAGGGACCATCAAGGGTCTTACAAAAAAGAAAAGGAAAAATAAAATCCTAACTATGCCCGGGGCTGGTTCCTCCCTTAGGGGCAGCTTCTCGTTCAGGCCCCTCATCGTTATCAGACCCACCTTGGCTGCCTTCATCATCATCATCATCATCAGAGGAGACGAGCAACCTGGTATCGGCTTCAAGCACCTTATCTTGAGCTATCTCTTTGGAAAGGTCAAAACCTAGAGCATGGATTTCCTCGAGGGTCTCCCTCTGAGATTGGCACTTGGCCAGATCATTACTCCACTACCTTGAAGGGCGGCCTCACTCAACTGAGTGTGGGCAGCCTCGGCATCAGCTAGATAAACAGCTATGGACTTGTCGGCCATGGATTTCATCTTCTCGACCTCTTCCTTGGCCTCAACAAGCTCGACTTCAAGCTCCTCAATCCTTTTGGCCTGGGCTGAGCTTTTCTCTTTAATGCTCCGAAGTTGGTCTTCGGACGATGACAGTTTGGCCAAGGAAGCCTCTTTCTCCGCAACAAGGCGGTTCATGTTTTCCTTTTGTCGATCACAGTCGGCTTTGATCTGATTGACTTCCCCTTGGAGTAGCTCAATCCTTTCCAGTTTTTGTTGCAACTAAGATATTGAAGTATTAGCCTCCACAGTTAGGTCTAGCCCGTACTTTTTCAAAAGGATAGTTACCTGCTCGTCTATCTCGGCCTCTTCCTTACGAGCCTTGGCCAAATCCGATCGAAGGTCCTTTATAGCTTCATCCTTTTGTCCACAAAGAAGCTTTAGATTGTTCCTCTCCTCCGAGACTTTTTGGAGCTCGATTTCGAATTGACTCAGTTCGGCTAGAGACTTGGTAAAGGCCTATACAAGAAGAAAAATGCAAGTCAGACTTAAGGAAAGACGAGTAAAGAAAGAAATCGCAACAACTAGTGCTTACCCGAGATAGGAGACGTTGGGCCTCTTCAAAGAAGAAGGATGAATTATTGAGATCAACGGCATCATCGAACCCGGTAAAACAATCCCGGAAAGGATCCTCTTCACTGGGGACTCCACCTACGTCAAGGGTCTATAAAGCCTGAGCATCCCTTATAGCCTCCTTATAAAAGGCTAGTAGAGAAGGAGAGTGACCTACTGTCACAACCCCGAGTGAATTACTCGAGGCACCCTATTAAGCCTTAGGGGTCTCAGAATTGGCCCCCCTCCGGTATATTCGTTGATGGCCGAGGGATAATCTCAACCTCAAGCGATTCGGGGGCTTTGCCCGAATCTTTCTTCGAGGCCTCCCCATCACGAGGCCGGGTCTCGACAATTGCCTCCGGCTTGGAAGGCTTGCCAACCTCAACCGGCCTCCTTGCTCGAACCACCAGCGCCGAGTCATCGCGTTCATCTTCTTCTTCTTCCCCCAGCTGGTAGACCGACTCTACAATCACATGGATGACATTTCTCCTACATCTTCGAATAGGAGCCTTTTTAGGTGGGGGTCCCCGGACTCCGAGACCCTCTTCATCTTGTTATCTTTCTCAACTTCGGAATTGGGAACTCGGCCTCTTCCCAAGGTGGGGTTGGCCTCATTTCAACAACGTCTCCGAGGCCTTCATAAAAGGGAGTCAAGTATAAACAAAAAGAAACATATTGAAGGGGCATCGAAAGCGTATATGACAAGCTTACCATGATTCTTGGCCTCCCATCTACCCCTTGCCATGTCACGCCAGCAGTGCTCGGCATGGGAAGAACTCACAGCCAACTTTCGAACCCAGTCTTTGAGGTCGGGGACCGCGTGACGCATCCGGGCAACCGCTACATAATAGATGAAAGTATTATATAAAGCAAAAAATATAGTACAAAGACTAATGGGTAATGCATTACTTACGATCAGGGTTCCACTTCTCGGGGAACCTCAGTTTCTCCTCCGGGATGACATCACAGGTCCTCACCTGCACGAATCGATTCATCCAACCCCGGTCCTTGTCCTCATCAATGCTCGCAAAAAAGGACTTTGTTGATCGGTGTTGGAGCTTGATTAATCCTCAAAAAGTCGAGGCTGATATAACCGTATGAGGTGGTTGAGAATGAACTCCAGACACTCGGCCTTGCTGGAGAAGAAGAGAAGCATGATCACTATATGCCAGAATGAGGGGTGAACCTGGCCGAGAGTGACATAGTACCTTTTGCAAAAATTGATGATAATTGGGTCAAGAGGATCCAATGTAAAGGGGTAAGTGTAGACACTTAGAAATCCCTCCACATGAGTGGTAATACTCTCTTCGGGAGCGTGGATCTGTATCACGACCTTGGCCCCCTAGTTGCAGTCTCTCTTCATATCCTCGAGACTGCCCGCCATTATCGAGCAGATATATCTCAACACAGTTCACATCAGCCGGGGAACAGTAGAGGGTTCTCGACTCTAAAGTCGATTTTCAAGACACAAGGGCCAGGAACATACTCGTGAGGGAGCGGTTCCACCGGTGTTTTATCACCGGCCAGCCAAGAAGAAGAGGAAGAAGCTTTCTCCTTTTGTGGGTCAGTCTTGGAGGTTTTCGCCATTGATTCAGGTAGAAGGAAGCGGAAAGAGGTGAAATTTGGTGTTTTTGGTACTAACTAAGTTGACTCAATGGGTGGTGAAAGAGAAGAGATGGAGAGAGTAAGAAACTTAGAAAATTAGATAGAGGTGAAAGTAAAATTTTGATTCAACCAATGAGCTTGTATTTATAGACTCACGACGACTGTTCGGTGGCGCTAGTGGCCGACCATACACAAGCAATCATTAATGGTTTGGGGAACTGTACCGACGCAATGTTTCAGTCACCTCAATCGCTTACGTCATGGGATGACATCATTATTGGGGTCTACAGAAAATTGAGGATCAAGTCGTTTCTTATCGTTTTACTCTAAGAAATAAGGGGGCTATATGTATATGGTAAAAATCGGGGCTACCCGATTTCATTCATTGATCGGGGTAGGAACATCATGTCGAATAGATGATACGTCACGTACGGATCAGGGTAGACATCGATTGCGACCAGAAAAATACATACTTCGAGGGACGCCAGCATGGCTTGATAACGGGAAAGGCGAGATATCTGCGATTGGTCGAGAATCGTGGCGTGAATCTCTGAACGGATCGATCAGCAGCGGTTAATTAGATGTTAATATTATTTCCTACTATAATTAGAACTGTACCTTATTTAGGACTCCCCTATTATATAGAGGGATCCCATTCATTTGGAAGCATCATTGCTCACTGATAAGAATTTATACACTCATTACTTTCTTGCTATTGCAGTTACTGTTCATCAAAGTTGTTTTATCATTTGCCATCCCACCTCGAGGCTACCCCAAGTCGAGGTTGAGACTTGGCTAATACACTGGTTTGATTAACTTTATTCTCTAATTTATTCGTTTAGTTCCTTGTTCATCAGTTGGCATTGAATTAAATCACATATCCTTAAAACCACCATATAAATTTAATATTTACTCGAATTTTAGGGTAAACACTTTATCTATCTACAAAAGACTTGGTTTGGAGGAAGTGAAACTACTCCCGTAACTTCGTAACTTGGTGATAGATCATATACTTGCATTTGTGGAATCACAAAAAATGTCATAATATTTAAAATTCATTCGGAGGCCTAACATTAAAATCCACATTTTACGTGCTAAAATTATGGATATAGATGAAATATACTTTGGAAGAATGTAAAAGTTATTGTACAAAGATTTGGAAGTGTATGAGTGCATATGGGTACGTAGAAATACATAAAGATACAAAAATTTAAAAGTTGAATAAGTGAAAGAAGTACATGGCTTCAGCCGCAGCCCTCCATGACAATGCGAGGAATATTTGTGCAGTAAAACAGAGCCTTTCGATAGAATGTTCACTACTAGAACAATAGGTTATATGGCTTCAGCCATGGGTCAATACAATTAGTGCTTTAACGTTTTTTACCTATCGCTGGAGTGAGAAGTGTTGTGGCTCCAACGTTCATTGCAGCTCTATAAATACCACTTTAGACGAGAATTTTTGGCCTTTTCAAAAATTTGCTCAAGTTTTGAGAGCTCAAGAACCCTCCACCCAAGGTCCAATCCCATCAACTAAGATAAAATTTACGCCTATGTAATGACCCGACTGATCGTTTGTACTTTAGCATTTTGTTCAGCGGTTTAATACCTTGAGTAGCTTCATATGATATATTATGACTTTCGTATATGGTTGCTCTTAATGTTCTCAGGGTCCAGAATTAATTTGATAGAATAATTCTCAATTTAGAAGCCTTAAGTTGGAGGAGTTGACCAAGGTTTGATTTTTGAGTAAACGACATCGGAATCGAGATTTGATGGTCTCAATATATTTGTATGGTACTTTTGGACTTGGGCGTATGTTAAGATTTGAATTTGGATGTTCCTAGAAGATTTTGGCTATATTTGTCAAAATTGGCAATTTAAAAGATTAGAAAGTTCATAAGTTTGATCGGGAGTTAACTTTGATGCTATGGGGGCTGGATTATTGTTTCAGAAGTTAGAATAAGTTCGTTTTGTCATTTGGAACTAGTGTGCAAAGTTTGGTTGGATTCCGAATTAGTTATGCTTGAATTTGACGCTTGGTTGCAAGTTCTTGAATTTAAGAGTTGGATTTGATCTTCGATTTTTGGTTTTGATGTTATTAATGGTGTTTTTAGCCCTTGGATAAGTTTGTACTAGGTATTGGAACTTGTTGGCATGATTGGACGGGGTTCCGGAGGGCTCGAGTGTGATTCAGGGCGATTTTGGACCATATCAGTTAAGTTTTGTTCAACTGGTCTTCTAGTGTTCTGAGGTACTTCGAGTCCGCGATCATTGCGTCGCATTCACGTAGTATGCTTTGATAGCACTTGATTTGTTCATCACATTCGCGATGATGGGTGAGCATTCACGATGAAAGATTTGGGAGATGGATGTTTTCCTTGTCCGCATTCACGATTGGTGTTCGCGTTCATGAAGGCAACTGGGTTCTAGGGAATTTCAGCCTACGCATTTACGATGGCCTTGTTGCGTTCGCGTAGGGGCAATCTATTTGTGCATCCATTCGCGAGGGACTTTTGCGAATGCGAAGGGTGTTGCAGTAAATTATTTGTGTTTTGCGAACGCTAGGAATGTGCCGCATTCACAAAGGGTATTTCTGGGCAGATTATATAAGTTGTCAATTTTGGGACTTTGAGCTCATTTTATCATATTATGACATTGGAAGCTTGGATTGAGACAATATTTACCTGCTAGGATTGGGTAAGTGTTCTTGAATTGGATTTGACTATTATTCATGATTATATCTTTGATTTTGACATTTGATTGGTGAATGTAAGAGAAAAAAATTAGGGGTTTTTAAAGTGAAAAATGGAGATTTGAACCCCCGATTTGCAGTCGGTTTTGGATGAAACTTGTATATTTAGACTCGTAGCCGAATGGGTATTCGAGATTTGTGATTTGTCGAGTTTCAGGGTGCTGGCTCGGGTTGACTTTTTAGTTGACTTTGAATGTTTGATTAAAGATTTGACCTTTATCATTTGCGTTTGATTTCCATGGTTTTGTTTGATGCTATTGGGTTGTATTTGACTAGATTCGAATCGTTTGGAGTAAGATTTTTGACGATTTTCCATTCTTGGTGATTTTTAGGCTATCGGGTGTAGGTAAGTCTCTTGGTTAACCTTGTTAAGAGGGAAATCCCTAGGATTTGACTTGCTTTCTATGTGTTTAAGGTACTAGGGTGGTATATATAAGTGGTGGCGAGCGTATATGCACTTACCAAGTTTATATTATGCTTTATGCCCTGTTTCGACTATGTTCTCATTTGATTCAAGATTTATTTGCCTTATCTGACTATGTTTCTGACGAGCTCAAAACACCACTTAAAATTAAGCTCCTTAACAAAATATAGAATAGTATAATATCGTATCCACAAGAATTGGAGATAAACATCATTTTTCGTAGTTTATAGTTAATGGCTATCCAAGATGATCAATAGTTGAGATTTATATGATGTCTAACTAAAATTAACTAAGAATCTAGAGCTATTGACTAATGACAATCGACGCAAGGAATAAACAAAGAAAGACATCAATGGTATAAAATAGGGATTGATAGGATATGTGAAAGATAAATGTTTGGGATATAAATCTAGATAATTCACTGTCACGACCCGGATTTCCCACCCTGATGGCGCCTGCTAATGTGAGCTAGGCAAGCCAATCCTTTAAACCAATTACTTCATTATCCAATTATTTCCTTTTAACAAGCATAAAGCGATAACGTAATAACAGCGGAAATTTAAATTTAAGCGGAAGAAAACAATAAAATAGCTGAAATCCGTATTTATTACAACTGCTTAAAACTTAATTGCCCAAAACCTGGTGTCACAGTATCACAGACGGTCTAAGATTTACTACAAACAAGGTCTGAAGAAAATAACAATACATTGTTTCTGAATGTAATGAAACTGAAACAGGGAATAGGGATAGAGGGAGATGCTAGGGCCTGCGGACGCCTACAGGTCTACCTTGGGTCTCCACGTGGACTGAAGTTAGCCTCCAAACTACGGTCCAAGAGCTGCTCCGGGATCTATACATAGTGCAGAGTGTAGTATCAGCACAACCGACCCCATGTGTTGGTAAGTGTCTAGCCTAACCTCGGCGAAGTAGTGACAAGACTAGGACCATACTACCAAATAAACCTGTGCAATTATATGATATACAACGGAAAATAAAATAGGAATAAACAAGTAAAGATGGGAGGGGGAAAACATGCTTCATGGAATAACAGGTAAAAACAGAATATCAATAAAATTATAAAGGAACCAAAAATCCAACTACTAACAAGGATAAGGAAAACAAAGGCAGATTTCACTTTCATTTCACATCTAGTTGCAGGCGCGCCACCTGCTCCTATTTCATTTGTCTTGTGGCAGGCGTGCCACCCACTCCTATTTCATATATCTTGTGGCAGGAGTGCCACCCGCTCCAATTTCATGTATCTTGTGGCAGGCATGCCACCCGCTCCCATTTCATGTATCTTGTGGAAGGCGTGCCACCCGCTCCCATTTCATGTATCTTGTGGCAAGCGTGCCACCCACTCCTATTTCATATATCACGTGGCAGGCGTGCCACCCGCTCCCAGTTACAAACCAACAATAGACACAAAGAATCCCGGTAAGGTGACAAGATAAATATACCAACTTCCCGATAAGGGAACAATGATATTTCAACAACATCCCGGTAAGGGAACAATAATATCAAAACAAACATCGCAGCAAGGGAACATTAATATCAAAACAAACATCCCGGCAATGGAACAAGGATGATAATAACATATGAATCACAATAAACCACAGCTCAGTCATAACAATTATAATACAAGACTCACTGGCATGCTTGACACCAACGTATAGATACTCGTCACCATGCCTACACGTCGTACTCCACAATTAATACGTAACAAATAAGATACGACTCCTAATCCCTCAAGCTAAGGTTAGACCAAACACTTACCTCGATACCACGAACACAACTCACGTTTCA